GATTTCGCTGTTTGCAACAAGAGCTATGTCATCGGCGAATCTTAAAAATGATATCAATTCTCCTCCTACTGTCACTCCAATTTGATCTCTAGTGAATGTTTCTTTAATTTCATTGATAGATTGTTCTACATAAATATTGAATAATTTTGGTGACAGTGGACACCCTTGTTTTACTCCCTTTCCTATTTTGGCTGTTGCAGACTTGTCTGACACTTTTATTATAGCTAATTGCTCTTTGTATATGTTGTATATTAGCTGTCTGTCTCTATAATCAATGTCTATTTCTTTTAATGTCTTAAAAAGTTCCTTCCAGGGAACTGTGTCAAATGCCTTCTCCAAATCGATAAATGCGATAAATGTGTCGTTGTTAAATTCGATCTGTTTTTCAATTAATGTCCTTAGGCTTAAGATCGCTTCTCTAGTACCCATGTTTCTTCTAAATCCGAATTGATCATTGCTTAAATGCCTTTCAATTTTATGTTCTATCCGGTTACCTATTATTTTTACTAGGATTTTAGCTGAATGTATTGTTACGTACCGTGTTATTTTACACGTAATTATTATACGGAGAGGTGATGTGTATACCGATGGGATAATATATTCAAACAGTGTAGCACCAACGGATAGGGCGAACACCTGCACATCGTGATATGAAATATAATGAATAAGACATGGTCACACGTCTTGGACTTCTCAGAAATGATGAGTAAACAACAGTGTTAACATTGTACGATTTAATTTGACAATTAAGACTTGATCACACGTCGTGTAATTCGTAGAACCGATGAAATCGCAGGAAAGGCACCCAACTGAATAATACATTTAATTTAGTGAGCTCCTTAGGGTCATTGGAAGTCACCACCTCCCCAGTCACCACTCTTGACGGTTAACCATATATAAGGGAGACCAGGGCAAGAGCTCAGCAGACGGTTAGGGATATTCGAGACGCTCAGAGGCAGGTCGTAACACCACTCACGGTCTCGTCTATCAGTATTTCAGAGGCAGGTCGTAACACCACTCACACCATCTTGTGCTTATAAAATTGTATTCTTGTACGAGTTAATTGTATTAAATAAAGACTTAATCTTTTAACTTGCAAACATTAGTATTTCTATTTCTACGTTGATATATGTATCGACGTTGACATAACGGACGCAACAGTATCATCAGACTCAGGGTTCTATATTCACTGCATTTTTCAGCTGTTGCTTTCTTGGGGAGAGTAATTATTATGTTTTTTTTAAAATCTTCCGGTATTTCTCCAGTTATATAGATGTCATTAACCAATTTAAATAATTCGTTCTGGATTTTTTTACCTGCATTTTGGATCAATTCTGTTGATATATTGTCTACACCTGGAGATTTCCTAGTTTTCATCATTTTAAGGGCTTGGTTGAATTCTTCCCTTAGGATTGGTGCACCCTCATTATCTGGATTACTTTCATTATGTAGGCTAGTTATCTCTTCACCCTGATATAGAACTTCGAGATATTGTTTCCATCTATTAGCAATGTCTTCGTTATCTATTAGTAGATTTCCGTTTTCATCTCTTATTTTATTGTTGACTTTAGTTTTATTACTGACAAATTTTTTTATTGTATTAAACGCTTGGTCCATTTTGTTTTCTTTTATTAATAGTTCTACTTCATGGCATCTGTCTTCTAGCCATTTCTCCCTTGCTTCTTTTGCATTTCTGTTTATTTTGTTTTTAAGTTCTTTATATTTTCTTATTCCCTGGTTGTCTTTGGAGTTTTTGTACTTTCTTCTTTCCTCAATATCTCTTAGAATTTGTTCATTTATCCATGGTTTTTTGGGATCTAACGTATTTCTTATAATAGTTTTATTGGCTGCATTATGTATAGTTTCTTTGATTGCTTCCCATCTTATATTTATTGAATCATTTTGTGAGGGTGCTTTGAATGTTTTACTGATGCACGATTCATAGGCTAACGCTGTATTCCGATCTTTCCGCATATTTACGTCATATCTTCTTTCCTTTTGTGTAGGTTTATTCAATTTTTTATATGTAACATTGCTTTTCATCATTAAGAGATTATGGTCGCTGTCCACATCGGCGCCTGGGTAAGTTTTACATCTCTTAACTTGGTTTCTGAAGCGTTTTCTTACCAATATATAGTCGATTTGGTATCGTCCAATGTCCCCTGGAATTTTCCACGTATACCTTTTTCTCCGATGAATGTTTTGGTATGTGTTTGTTATGACTAAGTCATATTGCTTGCAGTAATCTATAAGTCGGTCTCCCCTTTCATTCCTTGTACCCAATCCATAGGCTCCTACTACTTGCCCATCTGCACCTTCACCTACAACAGCGTTCCAATCCCCTATTATTATTAAGTTGTCACTTCTTTTCGTTAATTTACAGAGTTCCTCGAGTCCTGCGTACATTTCTTCTATCTCGTTGTCCTCTGCTTCAGTTGTTGGGAAGTATACTTGAATTATTACGATATCGCTGGGTTCAGCTTTGACTTTCACCATTATAAATCTGTCATTTATTATTAAATAAATAAATTATATTTATTATATTTTATATTTTATTTTTTATTTATTATATTTTTTTTTTTTTTTTTTTTTTTTTTTTTTTTTCACTTGTTGTCCCCATTTCTTGTTTATTATTACTCCAACTCCGGCTCTTCCTGTTCTTTCACCTCCAGAGTAAATAACACGGTAATCATCGGACCAGAAATCTCCGTTTCCCGCCCATCGTGTTTCACTTACACCCAATATATCTATGTTTAACCTTGTCATTTCAACTTTAATATTTTCCAGCTTTCCAGTATTTAACATAGTTCTCACATTCCACGTTCCAATGTTTTGGCAAGGCTTTCGCTTGCTGACGACCTGAGAAGCCTTGCTTCTTCTCCTGCCGAGACAACTGATATTTCCGAATATATCTGGTCTAGTAACTTCCATCTCTTTATAACTTCGATTCATATTGCTTACTAGGAGTTCTAATGTGGTGGTATCCTTCTCCTTCCACATCGCAGTTAAAAGGCCAGTGATTGGAATATGCCCAAACTGCCTCCGTCAAATCCTTCCATTGCCGTTAGTTCTACTGTAAAACTCGCCAACGGTCGGTAGTAGCGGTTACTGCTGCCCTCCGCTACCTCCTTTTAATCGCCTTCTACGATAAGCAGGAGTTACTGTGGGTCTATTCTAATCCCCGACCCACAGAGGTATTCATAACATTACTGTCTGAAAAATTAACAGCTGCAGATATTTTTGTGAAACATGCGAATAATGACGCTGATGTTTTAATAATCGAAACAGCTTTAGAACAGTCCAACACAAATAAAACTATTGTCATAGGTGAAGATGTCGATTTATTAATAATACTAATTGCACGAACTCCTACGGATAAGATGATTTACTTTTTAAAACCAGGAAAAGCTCAAACAGAAACAAAAATGTATTCATCTCAAAGATTAACTTCATATTCAAAATGTCAAGGTCATATCTTATTTTTACATGCAATAACTGGGTGTGATACTACGTCAGCACTTTACCAAAGAGGTAAAACAAAAGTATTTAAATTATTTGAAAAATGTCAGGATTTAGTTGATTGCGCTGAAGTATTTAAAAATATTGACTCTTCTCCAGAACTTATTCTTTCAAATGGAATTCGTTTTCTTCTTGCAATGTACGGAGCTCCAAAAATAATAGATTCTATTGACAAGTATAGGTATTTAAGTTTTGTAAAAAATACACGGAGTAATAAAAGTGTTAAGTTACCCTATCTTCCTCCAACATCTTCCGCTGCTTATCAACATTTATATCGAGTATACTATCAAGTTCAAGTATGGCTAGGTAACGAACTGAATCCTGAAGACTGGGGATGGGTATTTAAAGATAACGGTTTGGAGCCAGTTCAAACTCTACTCCCTCCTGCTCCGGAAAAACTTCTTAATACTATTTTTTGTAATTGCAAAAAAGGTTGTAGTTATAATTGTGGTTGTAAGAAAGTTGGTTTATTTTGTTCACTAGTATGTAATAACTGTCGAGGCCAGTCTTGCGCTCCAATGTTGAACCAAATATCGCAGATAATGAAGTTTACGATGAAGCTATCAATGATGAGACATTAGATTCATCTTTTTTATTAAGTCAACCTATACATATAAGACTACAAGAGGATGAAGAAAGTGAAGAAGAACAATAGCACAAATTTCAAGAAGAAGAATCGTATTGTCAAAGAATTTCAAGATTATTATTATTATTATCATAATTATTACTATTTCAATATTCATTATAACATAATTTTACAAAATTAATTTAACTTGATTTTTAATAAAGAGTTCTGCCTTAATAATTTATAATGCATTGTACCATTTTTCTTATCAATTCTAAAAAAACCAAAACTTATTTCACGACAAATAATAGATTATACCCACAGAGGAAATACAAAAAAAAAATGTAGCAAACGCATCAAAGATTAAATTTTGAATTTGCAACATCTCATGAAATATTATTCGTAGAAAAAAAGTTCAAGATACTTATTTTTAGATAATTGCTTGATCTACAAGTTATGTAATAGCTATTTTTATATAAATACTTAAATTTTAAGAGATATTTGCGAAAAACCTATTTTGTGACCTTTGACCTCGAATTAAATTTTTAGCAACGGTGGGATCGATGGGGACTTTTGACATTTCATTTGTAATGATGTACCTAAGGTGTGTACCAATTTTCAGCTCTATGCGAATTTTTCCGAAGTTGAATGTTTATTTTGACTGGACTATATTACCGTTGGGTGGTCGCGTAAAATTATATGATTGATTATTCATCCTACATTGTGACGAAAAATGTCCTTCGCGATTACACGTAAAACATCGCCTAACATTAAAATTGTTGTTCCTAGAATTTTGGACCTGATTAGTATTCCTACCTCGGAAATTATTATTGTTACTATACGATGCGTATTGATTATTATTATTTTGACCATAGTTAACGTTATAACTATTGTTATTTCTATTTGTTTGCCTATTGTATTCATTATTATTTACTCTAAAAATGTCTTGTGCGTTCGTATGTTTTTATCGGCTATTAATGCTACTTGCATTGCTTGGTCAAGAGAATTTAGATTTTTAGTTTTCACTTCAAATTTTATTTCGTTGGGTAACCCGTTAAGGTAACTAACCATAGCTTGTTCTTTAATATTCTCACGTAATACTATTGCTTCGGACGACGGTTTACCTACGGCTACTGCGTCGCATAATTTTTGGAATATTTCTTCTACGCGGTTATTATATGCCTGAATCGTTTCATCGTTTTTAAATTTTATTATGTTAAGTTCAATTTGTAAGTTCACGGCACCATAAGGTGATTCGAATGCGTCTAATAATAATTTTTTAATGTCGTTCCATTCTTTAATTTCCTTATATCTAGTAACATTGAAAGCTCTACCAGTTAATTTAGTCGCGGTTATCATTTTTAATAGTAACGGTAATTGGTCGGGATCTACTGAATCAATTATAGTTTCGCATGCGTTTATGAACGGATACATTTCGGTTTGTCCTGAATATTGGGGAATCATATGTAAAGCGTCAATGACTTTTAATGTGGGGACTTTAGATGTTGCCATTTTTTTAGTTTTTACTGTTCGCTTAGCTGGTATATACTCGGTATGAATAATATTTTTATTACTTCTTAATCCTATCTTACATGTACTTGTAGTAGGGTTATTTTCAAATTCGTCTAAATTAATTAATCTTAAACTTTTATTTAATATATCGTCTACTGGTTTATTAATTTTATTTAATTCTAATTTATCCTCTTCGATTAACCTATTTATTTCTTCGTCATTAATTAATTCACTATTACTATCACCTAAATTAATATCTAATATACTATCGCTTTCTAAAATATCAATTATCTTATCTAACGTTTCTTTAGCGAGTACCTCAAACTCGTCAACAATAACTTCGGCGTTCTCTCCCGGGAACCCGTATTCATTAATTTAAATATTTATTTCTCATCAAAATAAAATCTCAATATACTCTTCAAAAAAAAAATATAATCTTCAAAATTCTCAACACAAAAATACTTTTTACTTCAGTATAATTCAAAATTCTCAATAAAACACAAAAATACTTTTACTTCAGTATAATTCAATATACCACAAAAAATATACACAAAATTCTCTTTACTTCAATAAATCTCAATATAATAATCCCAAAATAATCTCAATATAATTCACAAAATAATCTCATAATCTCAATATAATCTTCATTTAATATAATCTCAAAAAATCTCAATATAAAACACAAAATACTCTTTTTCTTCAATAAATTCTCAATATAATTCTCAAAATAATCTTATAATCTCAATATAATCTCAAAAAAACTCTCAATATAACTCTTTATTTAACTCTCAAAATAATAAAAAAAATAAAATAATAAAATAAAATGGAAAAAAAAAGACCTTCCTAATTACGATGGACAAAATGACCAAAGGAGACAATTATATAATTTATGTTTACAAAATCGCTGTATTCATTCCGTAGCTTGATTTTCTAGCCGTTGTTTTGAACTGCAACAATGTGTTCGATTTCCTCAGAGTTGTTGAAATGACGTCTCGATCCAACGATGGTTCACGTGAGTGAAGTTGCCTCTGTTGATAGAAAATGACGGTACCAAAAATATGTTTAGAAATATTTTAAGTTGCCTTCTTCTTGGAAATCAATCCTACCGACTGCGCCAATTTTTCTGTTGCGTCCCTTATGTCAACGTCGCTTCATATATCAACGTAGAAATAGAAATACTAATGTTTGTAAGTTAAAAGATTAAGTCTTTATTTAATACAATTAACTCGTACAAGAATACAATTTTATAAGCACAAGATGGTGTGAGTGGTGTTACGACCTACCTCTGAGCGTCTCGAATATCCCTAACCGTCTGCTGAGCTCTTGCCCTGGTCTCCCTTATATATGGTTAACCGTCAAGAGTGGTGACTGGGGAGGTGGTGACTTCCAATGACCCTAAGGAGCTCTCTAAATTAAATGTATTATTCAGTTGGGTGCCTTTCCTGCGATTTCATCGGTTCTAAGAATTACAAGACGTGTGATCAAGTCTTAATTGTCATATTAAATCGTACAATGTTAACACTATCATTTACTCATCATTTCTGAGAAGTCCAAGACGTGTGACCATGTCTTATTCATTATATTAAATATCACGATGTGCAGATGTTCGCTCTATCTGTTGGTGCTACACTGTTTAAATATATTATCCCATCGGTATACACATCACCTCTCCGTATAATATATATGTGTAAAATAACACGGTACGTAACACATTCTATGACTTAAATTTATTATAATATAGTTTTTATTTATTAATTATTTTTTATATATTGCGCTTAATTGTCTTAGCACTTAAATTTCGGAGCGCTTAATTGTCGTGTGCTCAATAGTCTTCGCTCAATTGTCACGCGCTCAATTGTCGTGAATCCATAAAATCACCATCAATTAAAGTATTTATGTTTAACAAATCATCAACATTCTCAGTGTTTAAACTATGCTTTAGAGACTTATTGATATTATTGGTTAAACTATCATCTGATACAAAATCATTATTATTCGGGATATTATTTGTTTCAACTATATTATTTTCTGTAGTATGTAATAAATTACTAGAAGAGTTATTAATATTATCTATAGAGTCATTAATAAAAAAAGAATTATCTTGTAAAGATTTATAATGGGCTTCTAACTCTTCATTTATTCTCCTTTATTTTGATCGATAACTCAAGGAAAATGATTTTTTTATATTTCAACTAGGTATAAACAAAAAAAATTAATAGGGGTTAGGTGGCATCTATCATTCGTTTATTAATTCATTAAATACATAAAATTTAGTTTCATTAGTCTACACCTAGGTTAGGTATAGACTAATGAAAATGATACTGTATAATAATAATAGGTCCTATATAGAATAAAGCATAATATTATGATATTAAACATAATTTTTTATGTTTATTATGTTCAATATGTATTGGAGATCTATATTATGTGATGCATAATTACTGAAGGCTCATTGTTTATATTCACGATTTGCTACGATCATTAGTTTAGATTTCCAGTGCACATTGACACAATAAATCAAAAATACGCGAGTTAAGAATGAACATAATTACTATTTACACATTACTTTGTTTTAAATATTTGCTCGTATTCAGATTCCAAACATAAAATAAAATAAAATAATTCCACATACTATGCAAGACAAAAACTCAACTTTGATAGTGAAAACGACGAATTCACAAATGTTATATTTTTTAGGTAGTCCATGGAATCTGATAGGTATCTATTATATTGTATTATATTATATTATAGTGCGGTCCACTAAAAGTAGGCCGCGATCGTCATGCGCCTACCGGCCGATTTACGGTGCGGGTTTCCAAACGTTTTCCCGCCTAATATATTTTCAAATCATCTAATGTAAGTACAATATAATTTTAAAAAAAAATATCATATTAAAGTAAACATTAGACTATATTATTCCATATTTTTTTTTTTACACTTTTTATAATAAAATAAGTCAAAAATAATAATAAAAATAAATATATATTTACAAATACTTACAAAGTCATCGTAATAAAAATTAATAAGGTAATTCGTCATCGTCGTTTTCGTCTTCATCAGTCGAACTGTCATCAGGATTTATTGTAAGTATGATAGGCTCTAATATTTCATCCCTTAATCCTTCCTTTACGAAATCTGCATCTTGGAGTTTATTGCAATGTTCGCCACACTTTGTCCAAGCCTCTTTAGTTATCTCATCTAAGGCATTATTTACTAACACTTCAACATCTGTCATTTTGAAAGTGCTGTTTTTTTTGGCGACTTCACCCTTGACTTGTGCCCAAATCAGCTCAATTGGATTGTACTGACAGTGGTAAGGTGGGAGTCTTACCACTTCATGACCCATTTGTAACGCGACTTCATCAAGCTTATATTTTTTTTCTCTAGGTATGGCCATTTTCACTTTTTCACGTAGTTCACACAATGTTTCTACCGGTGAATATGAAATGCATTTTTTTTCAAGCCATTTTTGAATATCTGCCTTTCGCGCGTTTGCTCTAGGATAATCTTCGGCTAGCACAGAATGGTAGGAAGCATTGTCCATTACCACAACAGACGGTTCTTCTAAATTGGCCAACATTTCAACAAACCATTTTTCAAAAATGTCCGCGTTCATTTGCGAATGGTAGTCTTCCGTACTACCCGATTTACATCGAAAGACCAATTTCGAATTCTTCACAAATCCAAATGAAGGTGAACCAGCGTGGCATACAATGAGTCGAGCACCCTTTCCAATTGGTACTATGAGTCCTTCGGTGTTTTCTGGATTTTGCCATATGTAACCTTGTGTATGGTTCTGGTTTACCCATGTTTCGTTCAAGTAAACTACCGGCCTTGTGTCATTATTCTGTCTCAATTCATACATTTTTCTTAAAAATTTTACCCGGCAAGCAACGATATCATTTCTCTCCATCAGAAACCTACGCCCATCATTACACTTCTTGTACTCGAAGTTCAAATTGTGTAAAATACGTTTAACTGACGTTTTTGAACCAGGGTAATCAATTTTTTCTTGCATCGCCACTAATATTTTTGCAGTCGTCGGAAATTCACTCTTATCATAAAAATTATGTATAGTTCTTCTGACAACCTCGTTGTCAAAATCGTCAAGAGAACTCATTAATTTTACACGTTTATAACTTTTTCTAGGTGATTTGAAAGCAATTTTGTTAGAAGGTCCGACTTCAAATTCCTTTTTCGCTTCAGAACAAACTTTTTTAACACAAGCAAGACTTACGCCACATGCTTTAGCAGTCACATCACGGGTTTGTTGAAAAAAATTTGAAAGTTCTGGCTTACTTTTATCAGCAGCTATCGTCTTAAAAAAATTGTATACTTGGAAAATCACCTTTTTCGTCTGAGAATGGATATCTTGATTGAATGCCATTTTAAAAATATTAACCTGTAAAAAACCTGTAAACTTCTATTGTACAATATAACTATTATAGTAATAGTATATATTTTTTTTATATATACTATTACTATAATAATAAGGAAAAAAAAAATTCAAACTTTAAAACCCGCGTTAATTACACCAAAGTTGAACACAAGAAATATTATAACGCAAACCACGGTACGACTTTCACGAGGATAAGAACATAACCACACAAAATTACGAAAATGTGTACTAAAAAGCAATGAAATACCGCCAGAAAACCATCTACACTATAATAAAATAATAATAATAATAATAATACTCCCAAACGGAGAACCCCTGGTTTCACTAAAAACGGTCAGTAGGCGCGTGACGATCGCGGCCTACTTTTCGTGGACCGCACTATAGTATGGTGATTTACTTACCTATTGTTGGCTGTTGTTGAAAATAGTGTAATGCAGACTTGGCGCGCGCGACGATTAAATTAATACATTGAATACGCGCACTGAGTGAAGTGTTCATAGAGTACTTATAAAACTATATATTATAAACTCATTAAACTCTATAAACCATAGTTTGGCGAATGGTGCCAATTGTGTTCGTGTATTCATATTCCGTGGCTCCGTGGGCTGGCGGGATGTTGGAAAATACGCATTACAGCAAGCGGGCAGTCGCGATGGTGTAAATATCAGTGGCAGCTCGTGTGCTTTGTAAGTGGGAGGACGATATAAAATTGCTTATTTATAGAAAGTAGGTATCGAACACAAATAATATTAATAATGGTTATTTAATTAAAT